CGCGAACCCCCATCTGCTGCAAGGCCTTACAATAGTGACCTCAAGATAGGGCTTCAGGACTGGTACTGGCGAGAAACTAGCTCATCGTCGTTCAGCTGCAGCTTTTCTGAGCACTGGCATTTCTCACATGCGATGCGCTCACTTGGTCTCGACGGACGGCCGACTTTAGCAGGCGGAGATAACCAGTGCTATAGGGTCGAGCATTGGGACCCAGAGAAAAGAGATAATGAGGGCAACCAGATCCCGGCTATCAATCAGTGGTACAGCACAGCAGGTAACAGCAAGCAATACAGAGTGAGTTTAGGCTTGCGTATGAGCAGTAGTTAGATGCTGACGGCGTTACAGGCAACAAAGGCGCATTTTGAATTCGGAATCAACACCAAAGGAGGCGCTATCTATGGTCTCTTCCTTGAAAGCCCTCAAGCATCCGCCAAGACTATCTGGGGCGGTGGTACGAAGGAGCCGAACAAAGACGATCTACCTCAACTTCGCGCTTTCTCAGACATCATCTGGGGATTTTGGGTTCGTAACAACCCCAATATCAAGAACATTCGCCACTTCTTCATGATAGCCATCTCCAACGAGGTGACTAATCAAATCATCGCTTCTTGTCTACGCGACCGTAACACCGAACTAAGCGAGTGGCCGGGAACCAACTTCTCTACCACTACGGATCCGGGCCATGCGCTGCTAGGCTAGTCGCGTTCAACTCCGATGACATAGATCAAGACTAACCCAAACCAGGATCTCCAAACGGTGCTGGGTTCGCTTACTTTCTCATGCAGCACAAATTACAACTTGGCCAAAAGACCATCAGCAAGATCACTATCTTCAGGCCGGAAACAGACGACGACGTCAGCCTTGTCGACGCATCTCTGTGTTTCCACGTGGTCGATGGCCCGCAGCCACCACCTGATGATGCTCATATGGAAGGGACTGATCGCCTGAAAGCTCGACTTGTGCGAGAGACAAATTCAAAAGATTCATCCCCCAACAGCTTGGTCAGGGTCCACGAGATCTATATGTAGCCAACGGTTAGTGGGCGTTTCAGACATGAGGATGGTGTAGGCAGACATGCAAACACAGACTTGATGTACGAATTCCGTGTACTGTCTCCAGGCTTCTACAGCGAGCCAATTTTAGTACATGCGCGAGTATTGTATCTATTCATTTCGAATGCTCCCCTAATTCTGTATGGTAAACAGACATCCGTGGTGGACTCTCCGTTCATCTCACTCCGATTGCGTACATAAATGCAGGTAATTTCTCAGAAGGGTTATTGCGCTGCGGGAATCTTTCTTAGCGAGTAGTGCAAGTAAAGATCTGTTTAAAATGAGACTACAAGCATATGTTGGGAGCAAAAGGCGCATATCAGCCGTCTTGATTGTGGACGGCTGGGGGTGTGAAATCGTCTCATCGTCATCACCGAATTAGGGAAGGTGTACCGATGGTCCCGAGGTCTGTGCGATTGAGCTGGTCATCTCTCTTTCTGGATCAGCGTTGATGTTCAAACACTCGAGTATTGATCCAGACGACTAATTGCTTTGATGCGCAACCGAAATGGCCCTATTTTGCGCCCACGCATACAGTCCTGAGGGCATGCTGCCCCTAGATCTTACGGGCCTGCGCCAATCCGTTCATGCCACACCCTCTTGCGACACATTATAAAGCTACAAACCACAACCATCCATGGATCCCGCACACCAAAGTGCAGACGCAACAACTCGTGCGAAGCAAGACCGGGCATCATCCTGGGTCGAAGGAAGGCGCGTACTGCGTTTCGTTGAAACCGACACCTTCAAAGCTTCTTACCGGATGCGCCCATGGCACAGTTCACAGCTCGCCGGGACTCTCGCGACCCGATGTTGTTGACTGTGATTACTCGGCGTATGGTGGAGGTTGTGCATCAGTGCTATCACGCATAGCCAGACGAAGGTCGGTAGGACTGCCGAGAGACGGCGATGACAGCAGAGACGCGTGAAGACGCGCATTAAATCTCTCGCAAACGGGTTTCAGGTGTGTAAGGTCTACCGTTGACCGTACTGTTTCCCCGTGTAGCGACCCGCTATCCCTCCTCGAAAAGAGGCGTCTCCAGAACCCCGGTCTCCGCTCTGTAAGCGCCTTCCATTCAATGTCCTCTGGATCCTGACATTTGCCAAAGTCGACGTATCTGGAGACGCTTACGACATAGGTTGATTTCGGAAACCTCGACTCGTCTGCGCAATTTCCATCGAACAGCCTTCGCGGAGTTATTTCGATGACCACTTCGGTAGGACAGGCGGTGCACCGCAAGGCTTTATCAACATAGCTATCTTTGAGGTCCTCAGGATCGTGGTACATGTAGAAGCGAGAGACGGCGTTTCTTACGCCACAACCCATGGAATATATATTCAGAACCGGGTCCAGATGTGGACATAACGAGTATGGGATCCCAAATACTACGGCCTTGGGGTCTACATCCTCGACTTCCGGAATACCACTGACCCACCTCTTTCTCAAAAGCAAATGACCATCACATGGCAATGCGTGGATGTCACTGCCCCACCGTTTTGACCCCGATTGATGAAAGCCTTTAGGGCGTAGGAGGTTGTGTCCATACCGAGGGGAGTGCCGGAACCCGCGCATCGTTTCGTGGACGGTTTCCCAGTCCAAACCGTCGAACTTTGTTGTGCGCCGTTTGCATATCGTCCTAGTCCCGTACTTGAAGGCGGCCGGAGCGTTTTGACCCCAAATATCCCGACTACCAGGTGATTTGCGCTTATGGTATGAGCCGCAATAATAACATATGATATGGTCCGGATAGTGCTTGTCGAAACACAGAACCGAGAACCTCGCTCGCTCAGCCTCATTCCCTTCTTTCTTGATCAGGGCGAAAGGGTTCTTGATGGAGCGGACCAATGTATTCGAGTGGTGGCTCGTCATTGCGAACGTCGCCATAGATGATAAAGGTAGAAGTTCCAATATCGTCCTGGATAAATGCCGAGGCAGTCTGTATAAATGAATCTGACGGCCAGATTCCCATGGTTTGGGAATATTCATGGGTGTTTCTGTGTGTTGAGTCATGTCGTAAGTCTGGTTTCGTGTTTGCTGGATGCTGTGGTCAGAGATGACTTCTACGCTGCAGACCTTGGGGGGTTTGGGATCTTAGGCGATTATATATGCTCTGAAATCACCGTTGTGCGTCATATTCGGCGCGTGCGCGGCTATCATTTTGAGAGGTAACCACAGGCAGAAGGTATGTTGACCATTACGTAGAGCTGATTGGGTTTATCAAATCGCAGATGCAATACTCGGTACCGCGGGGTGGCCAGAATCCGTGTCGCATGTTGCTGCATACACATCACTGGATCTTGATAAGCAAACACCTCCTGAGCTAATTTATACATCTACCTTATAATAATTGTGCAGAATTCGATACGAATTGGCAGCTACCATTGGCGTCGCGAGGACCATAGCGACAAGCCACTCACAACTAATTCTACGAGGACCCCCGTGGAATATAATCTTCTGATAAGGATGGCGGCAATAAATGATAATTCTGAAGAACACTCAGGGTTTTACTGCAAATCGTTGGAATAGGTCGTAGTTCTCACAAGCGGCTTTTGTTCTGACCTCTCGTCTGAATGTTTCGTAATAGTCGCCATCGAGCGGAGGAAATAACGCTATCCAGGCGGCGCGCTGGGGAAAAAAGTTGGAATGTCCTAGGATAAACCAATGCGGAGTATCTGGGCAGACGGTTCAGCTTCCGGGTTAGATCTTCCGTGATGGGTGCGAAAGCAGTGCGGAACATGGATATTGTAGCTGCGTCTGGGTAGACCTCATTCGTGTCTTGCGTGCCGAAATGACGCGCGACGGCTTGTAAGTACTGCACATAACTGGAGCAGGGTTTGTAGGTGTACACCTCGATAAGACCCGATGAGTTCACTCTGGCAGCAGATATGGAGGTCGGGTGCATCGTGATGCCAAAAGGGCCGTGTTGTGAAATAAGTTTGGTTGTGCATGCTTACACGCATGCGAAGAGAACAAAGGTCCGGATCGTCGAAAAGATCTTTGCGGGTTTTAGTAATCAACGGTTTCCTCAGGGTCTTCCCTAGTCACCTACGTAATTTCTGCTTACCTGGATAACCACACGCCGCAAGCGTTGGCGGAAGCGGCTACGCGACATGCTTCCCACTCCAAGATCAGAATAAATAACAGGCGCTACTCTACGATTTGGAAGAAAGGCATGGATATCACGGAAACGAGCTTTAGTATGACCGCAATGCATGCCCGGATGATGTAAAAGTCACGTGACTTGTGCAACCTTCTCTATCGATGTAGAAGCAAGAGTGAAACGATGCATGGAAAGACCTCCGTATGTAGGTAGACAGATATTGAGACGTCTCAGAGGCCATTCTATTCTTGAGCATGCGTCCATGCACTGCGGAGAGCCTGACACAGGACCCGAGTAATCCGCCCACCTGCGCTATACCAAGGCTAGCCGGCATAGCCACCCAACGTCAACGTTCATTGGCCAAAACACATACTCGGGGGAGTAAACAAAAGATCTCGCTGTCTCACTACTGCTGCGTAGTACCGTTGTCGTGCCGGAGCGACACATCGATTGGCTGACGATGCCAAAAAGCGCCTCGTGTGTACACGCGGCTCTGATGCACTTGCGGCTATGTGCTTTTCGCTGTTGCCTGAGAGATGATGAGACGCTATCCCAGTCGGTGATGTGACTTAAACAGGCCTGTAGACTTCAGTTTGGCTTTGTTGCACCAAGCCATCTTGCTCTTTTCGTCTTCACCTCCATTTTCAGATACCAACAGATTACCCAAACCAACAAGATGATCATGGCGCAGGAACGTTCTCTTCGCGTACTGAATTTGTTTGCCAGTGCCCTCACAACACCTTTCCTCATTGCCATCACCGTTCTCTCGCTGGAGTCCCATAGTTACCGGTATTGGTACGACCATCGCGATGTAACTACATTCTGCTTCGGCTACATCCCCCTCGCCATGACTGCGGTTGCTTCAACGGCGAGCATTGTCCACCAACGAAGGCACAATCGTACGCCAGGCCCCAAGTTCGCTCTCCTAGACGGATTGGCGGGTATCGCCTATCTTGCAATACTCATTCCGATCTGGGCAGTCGAGGTTGACGATCTGGGGTCAGCGGGATATGGCTTCTTGGCTGGATACGCAACAGCTCCCATGATTGTCAATATGTAAGTTGTTCAAAGTCCGAGCCAGTCATCAGTAGGGTTGCTAACATGATGACAGGTTTGTCCACTTCTACTTCTTTGCTTGCAAGGCTCGAGCGATGTGGTTTGCGTTGCGTACTCCTACGGTACATGAGTGCCCCAACTGCCACCACGACCTGACGGTGGGCACCCCACAGATCAAAGAGACGAACAAGGGTGGAGCGCGGTACAGCTTGCTGCGTGGAGAAGACTATCTCGATGCCGACGCTGATGCCGAGCGCTACATTGATGAGAGCGCGAGGCCTTCCGAGGAGCAGCTCCGACCTGAGGATGATGACAAGGAAGACAAGGGCAAGTCCAGCATCGATGTCTGAGATGTGATCTGGCCTGGTTAGCTCTCGAGCTCTCATGTTGTCGCATCAGAAAGAACGCCGGAGTGTGAAGGAGCGACGAAGGGATTGGCGTTGTGATATCGGATATATTGCGAAACGACTCGCATGAGGGAACACGTTCTGCGATCAAAGTTCAGAGGGATTGGTATTGCGGCGGTGGTGCAAGAGAGACGTATCATGTGTACGACACTTCTTTTCTTAGGCTGGTGGGATATCTGGGATTCATTCGTGAAGGGTTTGCGCTGTCGTTATTCATTGGGCTTAACGTATCTACATCTTTTCGATCATACATTCCTATCATATGTGGTCATATGCATCAATCGATTGCCTATTCAGATTCAGGCATATTGCGGAGGAAATCTCTCGCCTTGATCCCACTGCAGATTGCCACGTTAGTGATGATTCTATTCCAGTATAAGAGGTAAGACTTACATGCTCCGCGATACATCCACCCTCCCATCGAAAACGGTCAACGACTTCCCCAAAACTTCCGGTGCGGTAGTTCAGCCAGCTTTGTGGAGACTTGAACGCTGTACGCAATGGTGTAATGCTCTGCGAGCTCCAGATTGGAGAGAGGATGTTCCAGGCGGAGTCAGACCCGTTCTGTGCAGCGGGGTTGTGGTTCTGTACGTGGTTAGCTGTCATTGATCCTCTTGAAGACGTCATGGCCCTCTCACAATGTAGTCTTTGGCTATGTATTTGAACGCCTCACTGATATCCTTCTTGTAGATGAAAGCTTGGGCGAAGGCTTCGGCACGCGTAGCTGTCTGCGCTTCGGTTGTGTTCATCACACGCACGCACGGTGCCGGCTTTGTCGGACGCGCCTGGCGGGCTGCGAGTATATCTGACCTGCTGTGTATCTCGGCTGGAGCCGCCAGGGCTACTAAAGGTGCAAGCATGATACAACACAGGGTTGTGAAGCGCATTTTGAGGATGATGTCAATATGGCGGCGCTGCGGTAGCGTGAAGATGGAAATGGCAACGAACGTACAAGCGTGCGCACACTTATACCACGAGCACCATACTTGAGTATCACCGTTGCTCCTCGCACAGACGTGTGATCAACACCAGACTGACAATTTACGGCACAATCTCCCAAATTGATGCGCCGAGCTGCCCCACCGGTAATATTCCGGGGCATATGCGAGGCGATGTCACCATTCGTGGTATAAAGAAGGCTGTGGCCTTGGGATGTTATCGACGTCTCAGGTTACGGTCGGCAGTTGTCGTGGCAAGCATGGTCGCTATCGTCGCAATGTGTAGGGCTGGACAAGGGGCTGGGGCTGGCTCAGATAGACAAGGACGCGAATTGGGCCGAAGCTTCCAGGGTTAATGACGTCTGCGCACGTGTGGGGCCGACGCGTCCAGAATGCTGACTCATGCACGCGCGCTCGCAAGCAAAGAGACCTCGGCAGCTTGACAAACAGTACGCGATTTCTCTACCCTACCACGACATGCGCGTAAACTACCAGGGCATGGTCCACCGCCCTCACAACAACTCAACCCAGGCTCGACCAGCCATCGTCCCCCTGCCCCGGCGGGCATTATATCCTTCGTTCTCCCCTGTACACGACCAAGCAAGCTCCTGAAGACTCACGCAGCAGATCCCACTCTAGCGTGCGAGGTACTCGTTATATGAAATCTCACCAGTCTAAACACCGAATCCAGGCATCGTAGCGCTCGCGCTCACCACCCTCGTCGCCTCTCCATCGTGGCTAGTATCCTAGTCTTCGTCGTCGCTCTCGTCTCCATCGATCATCTCCCCGTCTTCACTCGCCCTCTGAGACATGGCGTGCAATCGGCCTGAGCCCTGCAGATTGTCAGGGTCGTAACCGCTATCGCGAAACATCTGCAGCTGGCCCTCCACGATCGCTACCTTCTTCCGCTGAATCTCCGCGGTGTCCTTGGAAAGATTCATACCCTCGCCGGAATAGTTCAGCCCACCTCCGCCTCGGGCAGCGAGTCTCGCATGCGTCAGATCGGACGCAATCCAAGTGTATTCGGATGGTTCAGCATATGATCCAGGGCTGTTTCGGAAGAGATCGCGAGCTCTGCTGTATACCCGAGGAAGTTGCACAACGATCACATTGACGTCTTCGTCGTCTGACGAGTGTGAGGAGTCGGAGGAACCATTGTACTCTTCGTCTTCGTCGTGGAGCTCTTGCTGAACCTTCTGAAGCCTGGCCTGCTCGGCTTCCCATTGCGTCAGTCCACGCCCATGCGCTTTATTGGCCTCACGATCGATCTTCTGGAATGCCACCTTCTTAGCCCAGGCCTCCTCCTTTTCCTCCTTCTTACGATCTTTGCGCTGGTAGGGCTCGGGTCGCTTCTGGAACGTACGGGACGTGGGCGCCGATTGCTTCGCAGCGTTGGATTTCGATACCAAGGGCGCCGTGGACAATACAGACTTGTAACATCCTGTCGCTGGGCTCCAATGGTGATGGTATGTCGAACATATCGCTGCCGACTCGCTTATGCTCGCTCCTGATGCCCATTCTATTTCCAGTTTCGTCATCAACGCCTGCTTAGATTCATGGTACCAATGATCGAGCCCGGATATTTTCAGCAATTCCAGGGTATCTTCGGCCTTCATGGCCAAAGCACCGACAAAGAAATTGAAAGCTCGCGTGTCATTCTCCGATAAGAGATTCATGAACGCTGGGCTCATGCGGAGGAATCCGAATTTCTCCATCGTACCATCGATGGTGCGAATCAGGCGCTGCTGGGGACGATGCAGCTCCTCATATACTCTATCGATGATCATATCGCACACCGCAAGTGCGCCCATCGTGTGGGCGAAAACGTATAAGTCTTCAAGTTCTCGCATGGACCACTGGATCTCCGTAGTCCGTGTGTCCGCGTGACCCGCGTTGATCAATTCGACAACATCGTGAGTGGGCAGGGCCGCTCGGATGTCGGGCGAGATGCACGCGACGAAGCGGGCGATAGTATCGGCATCTATGTCTTCTCCGTACTCGATCGTATCGACTGTCGGATCGTTTTTGATGGCGTCCTTTATAAAGGTGCAGTGCTCGATGGCTTGCTTTCGGCTCAGAACAGGTCGAGTGGGATGTCCGCGGCGCACGTCACCGGTCTTTCGCTTGAAGCTCAGAACATCTTCGGTGTCTCGATTGTTCTTGTAGCGTACGACCTCTGCAGCCTCAGCCTCTGGATCGCTCGTTACCTCTCTTGATTGCGCGGCGGCAGGGCTGTCAAGACGTATGATGTCAGTTCTATGGTCTGTAGTCATGTTTGGCATAGAGTTACTTACCTCTTCCCTTTTTTCTCAAAGTCACAAATGAGGTCGCTTGGTCTCGACTCTGCCTTCGCTTTCCTCGAGAGAAGGAACATCAACTCCGCGTCTTCTCCACGATGCAGTCCCACTCGATAGTCTTCTGGCTTAGGCATCGCAGCCTCAGTAAGACCTCGTGTGGTCTCCTCTTGCGGCTGTGGTGTGGTGTATCGCTGAATACGGGGCACTGGTTCGTCGGCCATGTGTTCACTGCTCTCAAGCACGTTGGTATAGCTAGCAATCGTCAGCGGCTCCTCCTCTTCTATACCAGGTGATGGTATGCGCTCCGTCCGATCTGAGACTGTCTTGGGTGAAACCGTCTTGTGTGGAACTGTCTTTTCTGGGATTGTCTTTCTGGACTGCTCGACGACGCCAACTCTTTTCTTGTAAGCCTTCCGCGCCGATGGAGATACCCACACGAGACCTTTCTCCTCGAGGAACTTCCTCCCGTGGCTGCTGTAGTGCTTCCACATCCCTGATTCAGTAACCTCAGTCTTCTGCTTTTTCGGATCTGCGCGTCCTTCTGCATATCCTTCTTCTACCCATTTGGTGCCGCACTGTTTCATCGAGATGCCTTCGACGTCGTACCATTGCACCAGTTGTATATACTTGGTGTCAACTACCTGAGAAGTCCAGTCTTCGATAGCTGCCAGGCCCTCTATGAAGGCTTTGATCTCTTCATCGCTAGGTATTTCTTTCGCAGCAACTTTGGCGTGCGCACCCAGTGAGTTCGACTTCGTTTTGCGCTTTTTCTTGGGCGGAGAGTTTGCGTCCTCGTTGTCATTAGGCCCGCTGGGCTCATCCGTGTTGGAAGCGGTATTTGTAGGTAGCAGTGGGGCGTCCGCGGCGACATATGGCTCATTCAACCGACGCTTCCGTGCTGTGGTTGACATCCGCGCTGAGGCGTCAACCTCTTCTGTAGGGTTATCTGTGGATGACATGATCACACTTGCAGACTCTTTCGGTTGAATTGATGTAGCGGCTTGCTGTCGTGTGTCTTCTGCGATGCTTGGATGTTGTGGAGCTCTTCTGTCGTCACCTACACCGGAGTGTTGCTGGTAGTAAATAGTAGGTTGAGGCAGGAGTATAAGTAGATTGGGCAAAAGCGCAGCGGGAGGATTAGGCTCGCGGACTTTGTAAGAGGCACGAGCGGAGCCCACCCGGTGAAAACCATTTTCAGTCAGTCTCGTGAGTGCATGGGCTCATAACAAGAGGCGTCAGTCAACAACGGCGTGTGCGATCTGATTGTGATCGGAAAAAAAGGAAGTGAAAGTAGGAGGCTTCAACTGGCTACGTGACAACAAGACGATAAGGGAATCTGGCCTAAGACGATCCCTCGCCCTTCTGCCTCATCCGCTCACCGCGGCGCCGATATGCTCTGGTCCGAACTTCCACGCCAAGAATCCCGGCAGGCTGACCTTCATTGCTTGTCGCTCGAGGCTTTCCAACTTTTGCTCAACTAAATCCGCCATTTCTGTCTCTCCCCTTTCATTCGCCCTCAGCCACTCGCCGTGCTTGGCCTTGATCGCGACCCGAAGGTGCTCAGGTATAACCGGTGGTGGAGTTGAATTGGGTGAATGACCGGGTTGTACTTGATTGGGAGTGCGAAGGGGGCGGGAGCTGGAACTGGATGCGCGAGGTGCTGAAGACATTCGAGAGGCGTTGCGGCTTTGGGCGGTCTTGACTACACAGCGAAAGATTAGTAGGTTGTTCCTCTTAGTCAAGTTGCCGATGACCGTGTAGAAGACGCACCCGGTTGCTTCGCGACCTTGCCCTGAGACCTCCGTCTTGCTGCTTCCCGTCGCTTTTCTTTCTGTCCTCGCGGCTGTCCTCGTACGTGTACAGCTCCATTCGCTACATCCAGATTTCGCGGATGCACAAACTTGAAGTCTTCGCCGCTTAATCCTCTTTTGATGAAGTCTTCCTTCTCAATCTTCGTGTAGAGTTCCCATGGTCTGATAGCGCCTTGCTCTTGATACCACACTGGGCCCCACCTCCTCACCTGATACGATATACCGTATTTGGTGCTGACGCTGCCATAGCCAGCGCCGTTGTACATGCCCACGACGTCTTTGTGTATGGCCATCGAAGATGCACCATTCGATGACTGCGAGGGCGCCGACCGGGACAGCGGAGCTAGTAGTCGTACTAAGAGGAGTAACGGGCGCATGCGCAAGTAAGGGTTGTGTAGACGACATACTGGCGGTTGGTTGGTTGTATGTCTAGTCATCTGGCAGGCGCGAGCGAAAGGGAAAATGCGGTAGGTGGCCAATCATGAAACAAACGAGTGCCCAGCTGCTCCAGATAAGGCAAGTGCGTCATATGCTCAGCTTTCACTTCAATTGCCCGTAGAGACTAGAAGCGCAGCGCGCAAATTGAATTCGCTATTGGCCCATGAGAGACATCACGCCTCCCAAGGCCTCTGACTTGTCACATGAAGACGCTGAGTCAAACTCATGAGCCACATCCCGTAAGACATGTAAACTACGCAAATTTACGCTCCTTCTTCAAGCCAGCAGCAAGCTGCAAAACTCAACGAAAAAGAACACTTCCCAGACTTGCCAATGCCAGCTCAGACTAATCTCCTCACTGCCAGCATCGAAGCCTATCTTCTGTATGCGCGCCGACCAGGTAATGAATTCGTCAACACCCCCGGCAAGTGTTGATATAGGCTCCTCAGGACCAAATGTACTGAGCTTGCTAGAGTGCGGAACACTGAAGTGTAAGACCGCCTCGCGCTCAGGGTAATGTCTGGAAAAAATTGCAGTGCTGAACATACAAGGAAACCAGCAACGGATACCACAAGGATTAGCCCGAAGGCCATACAAGGTTTGTTCAGTCGAATGACGCATGAAAGCGGTGTGTAAAGAGGCCTTGTTGTAGTTGAGTTGAGTGAGCTGCGAAATCTCGGTGTTGAGAAAGGGAGAGAAGGAATGGAGGGCGGATTTATATAGAGCCAGCGCAACGCTAGCTGGCGGTCAGTCCGTGCGTAGTTACCCAGCCCAGCCCTTCACTGAGAGTGACTGAAGTCTTAGTGACTTGACCAGAGTAGAAGCTTGTTTGGTGTCGAGAGATAGAGAATCTCTGAGTCACTTGACAGAATAGGTAATTCACCGTGGAATGGCGCGACCGATCGCGTCTCTTCTCCCACTTGCGCTGTCAACGTCGCAGTTTTTCACTTTCACTTTCACCAAAGACGCAATTATGCACGCTCACTACGAGTTTCTGGCTTGCAAGTCGGCCTTGGCGGTCGACTTCTTGAAGCTGGAGCTGATCGATTCAATTCACAACCCAATCTCGCCGTACAACCTCTACCTCTTTGCTACTATACCACAGTATAGTTTGCAGCATACGGTCACTCAGCATGGCAACCACGACACAACCTGATGTGGGCGAGGCGGAGAAGTACTTCTGGGAGTCGCTCCCTCCAGAGTTGCGACGCATGGTTTGCGACTACGTAAGTAATACTTGTCTCCCCTCGCAGTGCCTCAATACACCTGGACGACTACATCGATCTCGCCGGCGATCTTTTGAGCAGGTCTTAATCCTTGAAGTGTATCAGGATACGGCATTGCTACTCTTTCTGTGTCATGATGTGCTAACGTATGCTGCTATAGTTGCCCCAATACGCCATCTCTCGTCGGCTTCACGTGGCACTCCGGAATAGATGGGATGACGACGTTGCCCTTTTTGAGGAATATCTCTATAAAAAGCCATATCTACGCATCGAGTCTGCCACAGCGCATCGTTTCGAAGGCTTGTCAGCCGGGAGCCTCGCGAAGTTCCGGGATCTACTTGTGCACGTTACGCCTGAAGCAGGCCGAAGGTCGTTGAGAATCATGAAGAACCTCAACACTCTACTGGACACTCCTGGGACGAAACCGGAGCTTCGCACACTCGCTTTCACCAATGAGAGCCGGGTGACTGCGCAGACTGAAGCCCTCTGCCTAAGGCTTCTGCAGCGGTATCTTCCTAATCTCGATACCATATGTATACCAACATGGTACGATGGTGAGAAGTCGAGTGGGAACCTCTTTTGGGGATCATTGCCCCATCTTCTCCAGAAATGGGATTTCTTTCATCCCAAAAACGATGAGGAGTTGGAGGACATTGAACTCCACAATGAGGCAGCCGCAGGCGACTCCAAGGACTCGAGTGAGTTTGATCCATTGGTCCGAATACCAAAGCATATCGAGACAACTGGAAGTCCGATAATGCTGTTCAAGTTGCGAAAAGAAAATGGCGAAGAGGTGGAAATCCTGGTCAACCGCGACGCCCCTGCTCATTATTGCAGGAGGTTGTTGAAAGAATGCAAAGGCAACAAAATTCTTTCGATTGTCATCGATAACGGTCGTGATGGGGACCCAGTACCGCTAATCCACATCATCAGGGGTATTGGCTGGCGAACCAGACTGAAATGTCTAGAGGAGCTCAGCGGCACACACGTCGATCTTGCGCAAATCGACGTCAAGAAACACTTCCTCGCCAAAGCCATGACGTCACTCCAGATCCGCGACTGCGCAGGGGTCAGCAGCTTCTTGAATCAATGCCATAGCGCATCAGTCGACCTTACATCTCTCATCTTCAAAGAGTCGGAACGCGAGATCGAGCAAGAGGAAGAGACGGCATTGTGCACCATCATAGAGTCTTGCAGCGATTTGCAGACCCTGTGCCTGATCTACGACAAGGCCAATCCGATCATCGAGGGTACCACCACACCAAGCTTCTGGGAAGGCAGCATTAGCAAGATTGACCAGCCCGATTACTGCCACTTTCCCCTGGCCACAATCCTCCCTAGTATTGGGCATTCATTGACATCTCTACATCTCGGAGCTGACCCAAGCCTTCGACTTCACACAAAGGATCTCGCTTTCATCGCTACCCAATGTACCAACCTCGCCAGCCTTGGTATCCCATTTCCCGCCTTGACCGAGGACATTACTCCTGACCAGTTCCGTCAAGGGATATCGGATCTCGGTGTTCTACGAGACCTACTACTCCTCCAGTATCTCCACCTGTCATGCCCGCCGACCGAGCCCGATGAAGACGGCGAGCTGCCACCCCCAGTCGAAGACATAGCAAGCTGCGCTCTGGAGATATTACTGAACAAGTGGATGTTGACTCACGTCAAATACTTCACTGTGGCCTTTCGCACAGCGACGTTTACCCGCGACACCTGCCATTTCCGGGTACCATCGTACACCAATAAGCTCGAACGCATCTCCGAGAAAAAGCTAGGAAGGAACATGGAAGCATTTGGTCACTTTGTACGAGGCGACTGGGACGAGATGGTGAGAAAGAAGACGGGACTTGAGCTGCCGCCAGCTGATGAGAACGACTCAAAGGATGAAGGTACGGAGGGATACATGGTAGACAGTGCACCGTACAGGCATTTTGACCCTTGGTCTACAGCTTCGCGCTGAGAGTGTTTGAGCCATTCAAAGCATCGTCGATGGCACGCATGGCCTGTACCAGCTTCCCTTCTTGTAATCTAGGTGCGACGACTTGTACACAAAGCGGCGTGCCAAGGTAGACCGAACGATCAGTGTTGGTCCCTGCAATTCGTGTTAGTATATGAGCGCTTCGGTGCTTCCAGCGAACCGAGGAAAATAACAATACTTACAAAGCTCCCTGTTTGCTTTGTCCCAACTTCCCAGTGGCTCCGTGCTCGCCATCTCTCCCTTCATATCTGCCTCTTCAAACAACCTTACTGGTACAGTACCGGCAGGGTAGTCTAACAGTACAAACGAACTTGTGTAGCTGACGCCGTTGTACCGGTCAATGGGCGGCACAGGGTGTGGCGCGACTGGGCAGATGAAGGCATCGATCTCGCCATGCGCATCTTTCCAGATGCTCAAAAAGTCCTTTCGCAGCTTCTCGCGCTTGCCATGGAATTGCTGAACTTTGGGAAGGTCCATCGGCTTCTTGCGCTTGAGTCGAGTGGATAGCCATGGCGAGAGTGGCTCGTTGAAAGACTCTAGTAGGTCGAACATGGCGTTGCCGCCTTCAACACCAAAAAGCGCATTGGCGAGGGATTGGCACTGAGAGAAAAGAGGGGTGATGTCCATCTCCACTGCCTCGATACCAGACTTTTGCAGCTTAGCCTTGACTTCATCTAAGATGCTGGAGATTGGTGGATGTGGTTCAATGACTCCATCTCGCCGGACGATGCCGATCCGTAGCTTCTTTCGCGTAGTTGACAAAGAGTTCCATGGCGACGGTATAACATCTGGATCCATATTCCACGGCTGCTGGGATGCGACTGCGCTGAAAAAGAGTTCGATGTCGCGCATGGTGTGTGCGAGCGGCCCTGCACTGGCCGGGATACCAACCTTAGTTGCCCCAGGAAGCATGCCGCCCTCTTGACCAGCGTATGGGATACGTTCCCAGCTGGGTTTGATACCGAACATACCATCGCACATGGCCGGGATCCTGATGCTGCCGCCCACATCTGTGCCTACACCCAAGATTGAGCCGCGCATCGCGATGAGAGCGCCCTCTCCACCTGAGCTTCCACCAGCGGTCACAGCAGTGTTGAGCGGATTAATAGTTCGCCCGAAGACGTTGTTGTGGGAGTCGAGTGCCATGAGCGTTTGAGGTACGTTGGTCTTGCAATAGAGAACTGCACCGGCGTTGAGTAAGCAATCGACTAGGATCGAGTTCTCTTGTGCCGGTTTGAAGCAGAGAGCTGCAAGGCCGATCGATGCATCATGACCTCGGACCCTGAAGGTGTCTTTCAGTGAGATGGGAACGCCGTGGAGTGGCCCAAGGGGTGCTTTTCCTGATGCGAGATGGGCGTCAAGCTCCTCGGCTCTCTTCAGCGCGTCATCAAAGAAGACTTCTGTGAGGCAATTGGTGACTTGGTGGGCAATTGCTGCTCTCTGCCATGACGTTAGTACATCAGCGGCTACGAAGAGGTCTGCTCCGATCTGGGACGGCTCACTTTACAGAAAGCCCGTGTCACATCGATGCATTTGAGTTTCTTCTCTCTGATTGCTTCGGCCAGTGCGACAGCATCATATCGTTCGGTGATCTCCAGCTCCTCTTTTGTCAATAGCCCAGACTTGCGTGGTATGTCCATGTAGC